TAAGATCAAACGCTCACCTTGCTCAGTTCTGTGGTGCGCGTTCGTGACTCTCCTGTTCAAACTCGTTCAACAAAATTAACAAATCTTTTTCCGAATCAATTCGTTCGTTTCTTTCTCTGAATGAACCGAATGACTCGGAAAATGACTTGTTCATTTTGATAAATGAGTTCGAACAGGAGTGTGTTACAGAACAGAGCAAGGCGAGCGTTTGAGCTTATAAAACTTAAACTTTGTTATTTATTTATAAAACGAGCGACTGTTTTGTTTGATAAGACCCTTATTCATCGTCTGGAATCGTTTAAAGCCCTTTGAACAAGTTTGCAGTTTGCACTGAAACTGTCTTTTGGACCTTGAACCGTTTGGTTCCCATTGAAGTCCATTATATGGAGAAAAATCCTGGAATGTTTTCATCAAAAACCTTAATTGCTTTTCGATTGAAGAAAGAAAGACATGGACATCTTGGATGACATGGGGGTGAGTAAATTATCAGCAAAAGTTTTTACAAAAGTGAACTACTCCTTTAATAGTTAGTAAGGTAATTGTTAAGTTCAGGTATTGGGTGGATTAAGGGAAGTAGAATACGCTTATGCAGAATAAACGGCCAATATTCTAGTAATACGCACACTAATAAGAAACTAGTGAGAATTGGACCCTAAACTAAAGTGTTACCATTGGTTTCATTTTTGCAAATTGTTCCAAACTCATTCATAACGCAATTTTGTTTCAACATTTTGCTTTTTTCACCATGGGTAATTTTAAATGTAAACAATGATTTATGTGTTTTTTGTTAACCTTTTAGTTCTTAACCATTTAAATTGATGACTTTTCAACTGGCTGAGGTGAATCATACTAGTATTGAGTGCAAACCCATTCAAGACAATGAAAATGAACCTCAAACTAAACTAACTGGCTGTACAGCATCAGGATTATGTTACAAACATTTCATGAGCAGATGAAAGTAAAAGACCAAATGTGCATACACAGACAGATATATTACCATCACCATTTTCATGATCTGTGGGTTTGAGTTTTTTTGTTTGTTCTGTAACCATAATGAGTTTCCTTATGGTCACATGTTTATAAAACATATTGTATTTATGTATTTATTCAGGGCTTGTCCTTTTCTACTCACCTATAGGGAACCCCAGAGCAAAGTCATTACTCTGTGTGGCAAATATCGAGAACAGGCCAGCTTTGGAGAAACGGCTCTCTCTGTTTGCTACCAAAAGTGTGAGTACACACACAAAAAAGAACACAGTCACTTTTGCCACCAGAATACTAAAGAAAAATGGCCAGATTACGTCCCCAAAGTCCAGCAGCACCATGTTTTTGAAGAGCAGAGCTGGAAGCGCAAACTTGGACACAAAGCTGCCCAGTCCTTTGGCTTGTGTAGATGGGATGATGTTTGTACGGCCTGCGACGTATCCGCAGAGAATTATCCCGAAACATTCGAGCAGGGCTGGGAGGAGTTTGTCGATTGACATGCTGGGTGGGACGGAGGGGGGGTCCGATCCATCCCCGCCGAAGTGGGAAATATTAACCGACAGATCATCCATCCTGAGTTTGACTGCAGGCCCGTCACAGATGTGTGAGTGGGTCAACAATTGTAAAGTAACTAAACATTCTGAAAAGTAAAGAAAAAGAGGTCATTCGTTTATTCAAAAGACAATTCATTTTGCATGACTTTCAATTAATTTTACAGTCATCCATGTAAATATTTAATGCATGGAATATGTGGTTCTACCTGAACATTAGATAGCACAGTGAAAATTTAAATTATTTATCCTGGTATTTGCATAAAATGGCTCTGAATGATTATATATTCATATAAGTCAACTATGCTTTATAATAGCATATAACTATAAATGGGTTGAAGAATATAGTGTATATTCATCAACCCATTTAAACTTATTATATACTATTATGAGATTTTAGGCCCTCTATATATACTGTCTATATACGAAGAGTTCAGATGCAAAAGCCTCTAAATGCCATTTGAAATTTTCTTCTTTAATGAAGATTTTTATCAAGCTTGTATATTTAAGTTCTGTAATTTCACTTGAATGGCAATGATAATTACCTATTAATTGTTATTTAAGTGAAATTACTGAACTTAAATATACAAGTTTGATAAAAATCTTCATTAAAGAAGAAAATTTCAAATGGCATTTAGAGGCTTTTGCATCTGAACTCTTCATATATATATAATATATATATGAAGAGTTTAGATGCAAAAGCCTCTAAGTGCCGTTTGAAATTTTCTTGTAGAATGATCATTTTTATCAAGCTTGTATATTTAAGTTCAGTAATTTCACTTAAATGGCAATGAAGATTACCTATTAATTGTAATTTAAGTGTCAATTAATAACTTAAATATACAAGCTTGATAAAAATGATCATTCTAGAAGAAAATTTCAAATGGCACTTAAAGGCTTTTGCATCTGAACTCTTCATATATACATATATGTATATATATATATAATACAATACATGTAAACATATATAGGGCCTAAAAGTACTTCAAAAACAAAACAAAAGTTTAATCCTTGCAAATTTTAAATATTCAAGTGCAATTCGTCCCTCATGCCACGTGTGTGAAGTTTAAACATCCAAAGCGCGCGATCAGAAAAGCCGCGTCTCAGACAGCGCACAAATAGTAAATTGAACTCTTTCACGTCTTTTTGCGCTTGAACGGACAAATTCAATCAAAATTATGTCAAAATGGCCGTCTCGGCGAGCATCCAAGTAAACAGTCGGTTTTCTTAAGCGAGCGTAAACAGTTGAGAAAGGAAACGAATGTGTATCAGTACATTTGATCCGTGCAGCTTTTAAAGTGACAGCAGCCTAATATTCCTGCTGCAGTCTGAATGTTAATCAAACGACAACAAAACAAGGATAAATTCACTCACTGCTCTTGACTGAATAACTTTTGTGACTTTAATAAGGATTAATCAGTTTAGTTCAGTACCTGAAAACTACTGTCAGACCTGCAGTACCCGAAAAACAACTATTTATTTCAGTTGCATCTATGTTCTACTGTATTTATGTGTGCTTTTGCTTGCAATTTGATTATTTGTTCTTAAATTATTACTGAATGCTTACTTGTCTTTGATATTTCTTTTTAATTTCTATTAGTTAGGCTAGTAGTTTTAGCTGTTGTATCAAAATAATAGAGTGAAATTGTGAATTTTCACTGGTATCTAAACTGTTGGTGTCATAACTGCCTGTTAAATGTTTCATGGCCAGTAAAAATATTTACGGCCGATAAAGTGTACCGCCATTGGCAAGTGTGGCAAAAAGTTAGTTTTAGACCCTGCATATATACAAATGTCTAGTCAAACCCGTAACCGTAATGATCTACACTACAGTATCATATTTGCTACATGCATATCTACTATGAATAAAACTTGAAAAACCTTATGCACACAATCAACTACATGCCTTCAGTCCCTGTTTATAGTGTGTAATCTTTTTAGGAAGTAAAAAATCCTACTAAAAAGATCCTCCTTATGGTCCTGATACACATGCATTTTGCTGCATTAATATAAAAATAACTTTTAAATTGCTATCAATTAACATTTACTGGACAGAAGAAACTTAGGTTAGCTCTTTTTAAATGTTAAAATGGAAGTATATTCAAATATGATCCATTTTGAGGAACGCTTATTAATTCATTTCTCCATCATGATTTTATTGCATTGCATTGTTTTAAAACAAAAAAGCTTTGATAATAAAACTAAGAATTTAATGTAATCTCTTTAAGACATTAATGTGATATAAAGAGTGACAACTAATATTTATAAGCCTTTTATGGAAGTATTGTGCAACTTAGGCCTATATAAAGATCTCATTGACTTCTAATGCAAGCATCATAATTTAATCTTATCTTGTACACATATACATAACAACAACTGCACCAAATTGCACATTTTTGCTCAGTTTTGGCCTCTGAATCGAGGATGGGCTTCATTGTCTCACTATATCTTACCAAATGAGTGCCTGATGTATCATATGATACAAAACAAAACACGTATGATGCAACACCACTTTTTTTTTTTTTTAGATTTTCTCAAATATTTAGTCTAATGTTATATTTTGTCTAAACTTAAGGTTCAATAAACTGTTCCACTGAACAAAACAAAGAAAAGCTTTGCATGGGTTAAAAATGCAGTGTGACATGTTTCTAATCAAACTTCTTGTTACACAAGCATACACATGAGTATTTCTTTAGTAGTGAAGCCCTAAAGGACTTTCCAGTGATGACATCAGATGGATTTATGTATTCACTTCAAGATAATATTAGACTCCTGTCTGTCATGGTACCAGCTTACTTTCTGGTACTAGTTTGAGTTGTAAACAATAGCGAATGTTAGTAAGTTACCAGGCAATATATAATCTAGCATGAACACAAGAATCTTTTTAGATGAACTGGGTTCTGTGTGTACAGTGAGTTGTTGACAGACTCACCGGATCAGCTGATTCCTGTAAATCCGATCTAGTGTGTGAGAAACACACACAAACACAAACACACTTTCACTCATGCTGTTTCTTTCGGATGACATCGAGCAGTGATCTCAGATCCACAACTGCTCTTCCGCATCGCCTCTGCTCTGTCTGTGTGCTGCAAGCATGAGTCTTGTTATCATAGTACTAACACACACACTCACACACACCGCTGCAGTGAAGTTATCATCACACTCGCCAATAGAAATCGGTCAAGAGTGTGCGCATGCGCACAAGCGCACAGGCACCTCTCACGTGGTGCTTTGCATAAGCTTGAAACAACACGTAATATGGAAACCTCCTTTATTAAAAAATATGTATTCTATGGGAATATGACTTACATTTCACACATTACAATTGGTATTTGTTCGTAAAAAATGGCCTTACAGTAATATAGGGCAGCTTTACAAAATGGCCAGATGTTCTTGTAATGGTCGATAGAGGGAGGCATTTCTTTAAATAAAGCATTTCACAATAAACAGATAATTCAAAATGACTTCAGGATTCATCGAACTTTATTTTGGGCCACTGACCAGTTTTCGTGTACAAATACAAATGCAAACCCATATACATTTACGTTGAATTTACAGAATTTGAGAAACACAGCAATAGCCTACAAAAAATAAAAATAAAAAATACAACATAGTCAGAAAACAAACCAGAATATACGATTCTGTTTTACCTGCTATCAGGTGTCAATACAAAACTACAAATATAGTCATTGCTCCATTCACCTCATTGTAGCCTTGTTCATGTGCCCTTTCAGCCAATCTCAGATTACAGCTGTACTAGACTGAGATAGTTCTTCCAGTTCAATTCACACACACACATACACACACACACACACACACACACACACTGACACAAACGTGGTTGAAGGGATAGCAGTGTGGGGACTTTCAGTGGCTTGGTTTGACAGAAGTTAGCGTCGCTTCGCTATATTCACTTCCTTGCTCAGAGCGGCTTTAATGTACGCTAATTCCTGCATTGATATGTCCTATATATTATTTGTAGGAAAGTTTATTGAAAAACAAATACATTGAGGAGAGAATAACCATTTTTAATTGAGAGGCAAAATACCCCTACTACTTCAAATGTGGATATTGCTGTGTGTTAAACTACTTTTCTCTCTTTCCTCTTCAGTTTTGCAACTTCACTTTTCTTGCTGCGTAACCTTCTGTATTCCTGTTGAAATGTGTGCTACTTTATGATAAATTACTCACTATTTTTTGTCCAACGTTAGTCAGATAAATTTGTCTGTAAATAAATAAAGGTGGCCTAAATAGAATTTGCAGAACAAGGTATTTTTGTAAGTTCATGTTTTATAGGGAATTTCTTTATGATTTGTGTACTGTTCAAACTGAATATTTTCTCCCATAACCTGACCTGTAAACCTACCCATCACACAAAACTTTCTGCATTTTTACATTATCAAATCAATTACTCTTTTTAATTTTAAGCTGTTTTCCTCATGTGGACCAAAATGTCCCCGCAATGTAGGGAATACCTGAACTATACACACTTGTTGGGACATTTGGACCACACAAAAATACACACAAAAATGTTATACACACAAAAATGTCTTGATTAAAACAAACTTTCACGGATAATGATAGAATGCACTTTAATTGCCATACATTTTCCGCCCAAAAGAAATTAAATGCATACAAAAATAAAATGTATATAAAAATTTAGTTCCTGAGTCTCATTCACCAGATTAAAATCCATCTCATATTATAATAATGCCAAAACATTTCATCTGGGAATTGGTGGCAGGGGTGGCGCTCCTCTGTCTCTGATTCCTGAAAAACAAATAGATATAAAGCAATTATTCTGACATTAAAATATGCAAAACTCTACATGTCAACTCTAAAAGCAGGAAAACAAAAAGCAATTGTGGGTGGACATTAGCATCATACTAGATTCACAACAACACACACTTTTAGAGAACTGTCATTACAAATCTGCACAAAACCCTGCGGTGCTGACCTTTGCCCCCGGCCTTGCTGGGGTAAGACTTCGAGAAGGAGACATACGGCTCTGGTGGAGGTAATTCAGACAGAGCATGGAAGGAGAACCTCATCCCCCAATCATCTAGAGGGAAAGAATACGATACGACAGTCAATATCAATTTTCAATAGCACATTTTCATAACCATACGTAATGCTGCATCTGCTGTCTATGGACATTAAAGGGAAAGGTCACCCACAATGAAAATCCTGTCATCATTTACTCGCCCTCATGTCGTTTCAAGCCTGAATGACATTCGACCGACTTCAGAAAACAGAAGAAGATATTTCAGTGTCAGTTCCCTTTGACTTCCATTGCATTTTTTTTCCCAAACAATGGAAGTCAAAAGGAACCGAAAACGTTTTTTTCTAAACATTCTTAAAAATATTTCGTTTAACATTCCACAGGTGACAGCAAGTCAGTCATGCAGGTTTGGAACGACATGAGGGCGAGTAAATGAGGACAGAATTAAACATTTTGGGTGTACTGTCCCTTTAAATTTTTTGTTCAAACTCAATTAGACTGTGCTTATTTTTGTTAAAATACTTTCTCATATAGAAAACCTACTTTATTTTCAACTCTAATGTATGACAATGCAGAAATGTCTCTCTTCAGGTTCTTCAACTCCCGACCTTTTGTATTGTTGACCGATACATGCTGCCATTTTCTCATAAACAGATATAAGATGCAGTCTTAAAGGGATAGTTCACCCGAAAAATTCTGTCATTTATTAGTCAACCTCATGTCGTTCCAAACCCGTTAGACTTTCATTCATCTTTGTAACACAAATGAAGATCTTTTTAATGAAATCCCTCCATTGACAGGCTATGCAACTACCACTTTCAAGGCCCAGAAAGGTAGTAAAGACATCATTAAAGCAATCCATGAGTCTCCAGTGGTTTAACCTCAATTTTATGAAGCGACACAAGTACTTTGTTTGCCCAAAAAACTGAATTTACACTTTATTTACAAAATATGAGCGTTATGAGAGCACCACGACACATGAATGTCATATTTTGTAAATAAAGTGGTAAATTCATTTTTTTATTTTGAACCAGTAAAGCACTTGCATTGCTTCATAAAATTGAGGTTAAACCACTGGAGTCACGTGGATTACTTTAATGATGTCTTTACTTCCTTTCTGGGCCTTGAAAGTGGTAGTTGCGTAGCTTGTCAATGGAGGGACAGAAAGCTCTCAGATTTCATTAAAAAGATCTTCATTTGTGTTCTGAAGATCGGGTTTGGTACGATATGAAGGATCATTTTTGGGGTGAACTATCCCTTTAAGAGCGCAGAGGTCGTACCTGTGGCAGGTGGTGGAGGGCACTGGTAGCCGTTGATGGCTTCGGGGGGTGGGGGAGGAAAGCTGGGCACTCTGGGAGGGTCTGGGGGTAAAGCGGGTCTGCCGGATCCACCGGGACGATTAGGAGGAGGCACGGGCTGAGGCATCCCACCTCTGTTTCCTCCTCCTGTGGGTGGAGGTGGAAGAGGACCTGGAGGGGAGGTCCAGTCGCATGATGAGAAATCCACAAAATAATAAAACAATGTCTTGTTTCTAAACATCACGACACATGAATCGTGTGTATGCTGGCGTCACCAATTTAATTTCTTTTAAAAATGGGTAAAATTTAAAGAATATTAATCTGCATTTCCACTGCAGGAACTTTCCCCAGGAACGATGGTGTGTGTTTCCACCGCAAGAACCAGGGTCTAAATGAAGTGTCCCCGTCCGAAAGTCCCTGCTCGCGAGATAGTACCCATAGATATCTATATAAAGGCTAGATATGTCGTCCACGCTGCTGGCCAATGGAGGTCGACGTCTGCACCTGGCGGCCATCTTGTCACAGGCAGCTCGCTCACTCGTAACATTGTGTTAATGGTACATGTACTATTTATATAACCATAACTTGCTCAATTTTCTACCGATTTTCAAACGGTTTGGTTTGTTATAAACGTCAGAGATGTAGTTATGACACAGCATACTTATGAATGATAAGTGTATAAATAAATAATCATCCAGATAATTATAGCCTCGTTAATAATGTTTGTAAGAAACCAAACCGTTTGTAAATCCGTCAAGATTTCAACGAGATAAGAGTATTTGTGTTCGTGTTGACCACTCATTATATATCAGCTAGTCTCGCGTAGTCTGAAGGTCTGGAATTCATAGCAGCTTTCTTTGGCCAAGGCCCGCCCATAAGGCCGTTTGACCGACATGTCAAACAACCAATTACAGTTCGTTTCGTTCAGCGTCACGTTTCGGGGCGTGGAAATGTCCCCACAACAACAGACCGGCGTGCAACAAGTCAGTCAGCAGCAGTCACCGGAGGCGCTCGTTTACAACGCTCCGCGTTATTAAATTCACCCACGAACTCGCGCTCATGTCCATCTTATGCCCGCTTTGTCACACGGCCAGTTCAACCTCGTATAAATCAGGTTATCACGTGCCCGCTCACGAGCGCTCACTCTTAACAGACACACTGTCCCCGGCGCTGCTCGTGCGTTCATAAAGCGCTCCCAGTTCACAGTAACCGGGTCGTCTCATTCAAAACAGCCAGCTGTAGCTGTCAGCGAGCCGCGCACATTGAATACTCACATGAGTCAGGCTGCGAATGTAAGTTACGTCCCCGCCCCAGCGCGCTCACGCCTACTTAATAAACGCCTCACCTCCGGCGCCGCACACTCGCTACATTCCCTTTAGCACATCTAGTGGATGCATAACGCAAACCCAGTCAAACGTTTGACTCTGCAGTATCTTATGCGCCTTATAATCCAGTGTGCGCCCTATATGAATACTGAATCGGCCAGCTGCGATGTCAGCGTCGGTTGTTTCATGTTTGCCCACAAACGCGGCTGATATCCCCTTCGCAATTAAGTACTTCACTTGATCTTCCATAATAGATAGGAGGGGACAACTGCGTTTAGCTGATCTTGATAAATGCTCATTGTCACTCATATAAACACAACAGTTTTTCTCCGCAATCACACGTCTTCGCTTTGTTTCCCAGCGGACCGAAAATAAACGCGACACTGACGCCCCCCGGAAATCCGATAAAATTCAACCAATCAGATGACGACTTCGACATTCCTGAAGTGTTTCCAGTTAAGTGTACCATATGCATCAGACGTTTAGCCAACGTTCCGTATATCAGCTTATATATATCAGCTTACCTGTGACAAGATGGCCGCCGGTGATGGCGATAGAAACTCCGCCTTAAGACATCTAGCCTTTATATAGATATCTATGCTTCTTCCTTTTCAAAGTTCGGGAACTTTCATGGGTGGTACTTGGGCTCCCGACATGCCAATTGGTCGAGTTCATGCCGCATTTTGATTGGTTGACTCCCCGCAACATTCCACCATCTGTTGCCGTGAGTTCAGTAACAGTTGTCTGCTAATACTGCTATCAAATCAACAGAGTTTAAAAAATAAGACTGACGGACCAACGGCAACAGGCTTTAAATTCAGAGGATGAAATCCTACGGGAACTGTAAAGTCACGCGCAGTCCTACATCACCGGGCTATTTGCCTAATCTTCACGGTAATGTAGATCGCGGCGGAAAACGCAGACAGCAACAGGTCCGGAGGAAAAAAGATCCTGGGACAAATTGTTCCAGGAAATTTTGGTGGAAACATGGCTTTACAGTGTAATTCCTACTATAACTAAAAAAAATTAAAAAATTAAAATGTTAAAAGTACCAGACATAGCAGCGGACATTCAAACAGATTTTTTATTACGAATATATAGGACTGACCTGAAGGAAAATGCTATATCTACTCTAAATGCAGGTAGACCCTTTTACTCGATCTCTCATGATACTGTTCTATAAGCTTCAATGAAAAATATCAATTAGAACATATGATTAAGTTACTAAGAAGTTGCTAGGGGTGATGTGTAGTGACACATAGAACTGTTTGCCGTGAAAAAAACACAGCTATTGATCAATCAGAATCAAGGACTGAAACTAACCGTTTTATTAACTGCGAAACAGAAATGTCCTTCCACATACCTGCGCGTACAGATGGGCTCCGTCCCGATGGAGGCGGCCGCTCATTGGGCGGTGGAGGCAGTGGGCTGGAGCGTCCAGGTGGAGGAGGCCGCTCATTGGGCGGTGGAGGCAATGGGCTGGAGTGTCCAGGTGGAGGAGGCCGCTCATTGGGCGGTGGAGGCAGTGGGCTGGAGCGTCCAGGTGGAGGAAGCGGCGGAAGGCTGTTTCTCTGACCGCCTCTAGAGTTGGGCTCCTCCCTCGGGGATGGTGGGATGGGTGGTGCCCCTCCTCTCCCTGGAGGTAAAGATGGAGGCGGATTACTCATAGGCCTCTGAAAACTCATTGGTTTAATCTCAGTTGATGGTGGTGGTGGTGGTGGGCCATCTCGAGAAAATGACGCGCTTCTTCCTCCAGTTGGTGGTGGAGGGGGAGGGAGGTCATCTAAGGGCCTGCTAGGGATTGTGGGTAATGGCGGCCGGGCAGATGCAGGCATTGGTGGTGGAGGGAAAGAAGACTGGGACTCCCTCGGGGCGGGAGGAAGGCTTGGACGTCTGCCTGGCAGGCTTGAGGCTTGTCCAGAAGGAGAGGAACCTGACGGCCGGTTTCCAGGTAGAGGTGGCGGGCCGCTGGGAGAGTTCTGCTGGGATGAGCGTCCCGATGGTGGTACAGGTGGGGGTCCGGCCCTCCCAGGGGAAGGTCGTCCGGGGACTGGGAATGGGGGTCTGCTTCCTGCTGGGCTGCTGGGCGCTGGGAATCTCCCAGTTGTGGGAGGCATTGGTCCTCTTGCTGTTTTAACGGCACCAAAAAACAAAGAATATGAAGACAATTTTTAAGTACAGCACATTTTGGTTTCAGTTTTTGTCACTGGAAAAAAATAATTAGGACTTAATTATTAATAATTTTTATCTTACACAAGAATAGTATACTATAGTATAGTATAGTCTAGTGTAGTATAGTATAAACATTTTGATTTCAGTTTGTCAATGGAAAAAATAACTAAGACTTAATTAGGAATATTATTATCTTGCACAAGTATAGTATCGTCTAGTATAGTCTAGTCTAGTCTGGTCTGGTCTAGTATAGTATAGTATAAACATTTTGATTTCAGTTTTTGTCAATGGAAAAAATAATTAGGACTCAATTAGGAATATTATTATCTTACACAAGTATAGTCTAGTCTCGTCTCGTCTAGTCTACGATAGTCTAGTCTGGTCTAGTATAGGCTAGTCTAGTATAGTCAAGTCTGGTCTAGTATAGTATAGAATACTCTAGTATAGTCTTCTCTACTATAGTATAGTCTAGTATAGTATAGTATAGTATAGTATAGAGTATAGTATAGTCTAGTCTAGTCTGATCTAGTATAGTATAGTCTAGTCTGGTCTAGTATAGTCCACTCTAGTCTGATCTTGTATATAGTATAGTCTAGTCTGGTCTAGTTTAGTATAGTATAGTCTGTCTAGTATAGTATAGTCTAGTATAGTATAGTCTAGTATAGTCTAGTCTAGTATAGTCCAGTCTGGTCTAGTATAGTACAGTCTAGTTTAGTATAGTCTAGTGTAGTCTGGTCTAGTATAGTATAGTATATGGTGATATAAACATTTTGATTTCAGTTTGTCAATGGAAAAAATAATCAAGAATATTATTATTATCTTAATTAACTTAATTAAGAATAATATTATCTTACACAAATATAGTATAGTCTAGTCTAGTATAGTCTGGTCTAGTATAGTCTAGTATAGTGTAGTCTAGTATAGTGTAGTCTAGTATAGTATAGTCTAGTCTAGTATAGTATAGTCTAGTATAGTCTAGTCTAGTATAGTATAGTCTAGTCTAGTATAGTATAGTCTAGTATAGTATAGTCTAGTATAGTATAGTCTAGTATAGTATAGTCTAGTATAGTCTAGTCTAGTATAGTATAGTATAGTCTAGTATAGTATAGTCTAGTCTAGTCTAGTATAGTATAGTCTAGTATAGTATAGTCTAGTATAGTATAGTCTAGTATAGTCTAGTCTAGTATAGTATAGTCTAGTATAGTATAGTCTAGTCTAGTATAGTCCAGTCTGGTCTAGTATAGTACAGTCTAGTTTAGTATAGTCTAGTGTAGTCTGGTCTAGTATAGTATAGTATATGGTCATATAAACATTTTGATTTCAGTTTGTCAATGGAAAAAATAATCAAGAATATTATTATTATCTTAATTAACTTAATTAAGAATAATATTATCTTACACAAATATAGTATAGTCTAGTCTAGTATAGTCTGGTCTAGTATAGTCTAGTATAGTGTAGTCTAGTATAGTGTAGTCTAGTATAGTATAGTCTAGTCTAGTATAGTATAGTCTAGTATAGTCTAGTCTAGTATAGTATAGTCTAGTCTAGTATAGTATAGTCTAGTATAGTATAGTCTAGTATAGTATAGTCTAGTATAGTATAGTCTAGTATAGTCTAGTCTAGTATAGTATAGTCTAGTCTAGTATAGTATAGTCTAGTATAGTATAGTCTAGTATAGTCTAGTATAGTCTAGTATAGTGTAGTCTAGTATAGTGTAGTCTAGTATAGTATAGTCTAGTCTAGTATAGTATAGTCTAGTATAGTCTAGTCTAGTATAGTATAGTCTAGTCTAGTATAGTATAGTCTAGTATAGTCTAGTATAGTATAGTCTAGTATAGTCTAGTATAGTGTAGTCTAGTATAGTGTAGTCTAGTATAGTATAGTCTAGTCTAGTATAGTATAGTCTAGTATAGTCTAGTCTAGTATAGTCTAGTCTAGTATAGTATAGTCTAGTATAGTATAGTCTAGTATAGTATAGTCTAGTATAGTATAGTCTAGTATAGTATAGTCTAGTCTAGTATAGTATAGTCTAGTATAGTATAGTATAGTCTAGTATAGTCTAGTATAGTATAGTCTAGTATAGTATAGTATAGTATAGTCTAGTATAGTATAGTCTAGTATAGTATAGTATAGTCTAGTATAGTATAGTCTAGTATAGTCTAGTATAGTCTAGTCTAGTATAGTATAGTCTAGTATAGTATAGTCTAGTATAGTATAGTCTAGTATAGTATAGTCTAGTATAGTATAGTCTAGTCTAGTATAGTATAGTATAGTCTAGTATAGTCTAGTATAGTATAGTCTAGTATAGTATAGTATAGTATAGTATAGTCTAGTCTAGTATAGTATAGTCTAGTATAATAAAGTCTAGTATAGTCTAGTCTAGTATAGTATAGTCTAGTATAGTATAGTCTAGTATAGTATAGTATAGTATAATATAGTCTAGTATAGTCTAGTCTAGTCGTATAGTATAGTATAAAATAAACATTTTGATTTCAGTTTATGTCAATGGAAAAAAAAATAAAATTACTAAATTAGGATTATTTCTATTTTATAAACAATAAAGTCTAGTATAGTTCAGGATAATCATTTTGATTTTAGTTTAAATCAATGGAAAAATATATAGGACTATTAGGATAATTATAATAAAATACACGTATAGCATAAACATTTTGAATTAATTGTGTCACAATGCAAAAAATTATAGGATCAAATAATAAAAAGGACATTATTATTATTATTATTATTATTAAATAATTATTATAATTGTATTATTAATAATAATATATCTATAAAATTAAAAATAGGATTATTATGTAATATTTATATATATATATATATATATATATTACCCCTTTAATTTAAGGCTTGAATGCAGTATTAAATAATAATAAAAATGGTTTATTTTACCGTTGTTGCTTCCTGGTGATCTCAGTCTTGGCATTCCTCCCTGAAACAGCCCACCCAGTCCTCCACCTCCTCCTCCCCCTCCCTCCTCCTCCTCCTCCTCCTCCTCCCCCACCTCCTCCTCCTCCTTTGGGCTCTGTGTAAATAAAAAATATCAATTAATACTTGCAATACTTACAAATAAATGAATTGTTTTTATTTACATATAAAAAAAATATATCAATTTATTTGTTAGAATGTATTTGGCACTACAGTCTTAAAGTCACCATGAAATAATCAAAATTCAATCTTTTTTGTGAATATGAAAATTCATTTTTTTTTTATAAAATATAGAAGTTTAGTTTAGTTTTCAAGGACTATCGGTTTGTTTTAATTTAATTTGTCACGTGTCTTCTTTGTTCAGATTCCACTCGTTTTGACTCTGTGTGTAACGGTCACCAGCTGGAGTGCCCTTGAGAACCACCAGAGGGCACTCCAGATTAGACTTATCACTCACAAACTACATTTCCCATAACTCACTGCTCGGACTCACACTCACCTGTACCTCATTCACTGATTGCATTCACCTGTGTCTCATCATGTTAGTCTGTCTATATATACCTTGTTCATTCATTCACTCACTGCGAAGTCTTGTTTTACTGTTGGTTGCAATTCTGAGCGTTATCCTCCCGAGTTTGATTCCTCTGTTTGACCCGTGGCTTGTTTATCATTGCTGACCCTTCTCTGCCTGCCCTGACCCTTGACTGTTTCACTGGACTCTGATTCTCTCTTCCTGCCTCGACCCTTCGTTTGTATCTGGTTTGTCTCTGCCTTGCCTCCATTGCCCTGTTTGCTGTTGTTGACCCCTGCCTGTTTTGACTACACTAATAAATGCTGCGAATGGAGTCGGCAGTGTGATTGGCATTAGAAGTTCGTTAACAGTGTATTGCTGTTCATCTATTTCGAACATCGTTTTTCCCTTAAACGAAAAATAACTTTGCCGTGAGTATATCGGGGCCTTAATGCAGTTTAAGACCTGCCTGGAACTTGTACTTAGCCGTACGTTTCCCTGAAAATAACGGCATCACAATCAGATCTTAGTATTCAACAGCCCTGTAGTACTTTCTTTTTTTTTTCATTCATGTGCCCTCTGTAGTGCCTGAGACAGAAACAAAAAAAATACATCAATCCTCAATAACTCTAATTCAACAAGCAAACCGTTTCTGTGGAACTAGCCCCAAACTGCTAACACAGTAAAACCACAACCATCCAATCAATGCTACACGGAGAAAATCAAGCACCGCCCCACATTTGCTCTTGTTCGAGAAGCTGTTTCACTCAGATATACAACACAAAAGGGAAGAAAAGACTATCACAAATTCTAGTAAAAATCAAAGGTTCCAAAAAGGGGTTTTCACAGAAGAACCATTTTTGGTTCCTTTCCATAGTTCACTTTAAAAAAAAAAACTTCTGCTGATAATTTACTCACCCCCATGTCATCCAAGATGTCCATGTCTTTCTTTCTTCAGTCGAAAAGAAATTAAGGTTTTTGATGAAAACATTCCAGGATTTTCTCCATATAATGGACTTCATTGGGAACCAAACAGTTCAAGGTCCAAATGAGAGTTTTAGTGCAAACTACAAACTGTTCAAAGGGCTTTAAACGACACTGGACGATGAATAAGGGTCTTATCAAGCGAAACGACCGGTCGTTTAAAGAATAAATACAAAAGTTTATGTTTTATAAGCACAAATGCTCGCCTTGTTCTGTTCTGTGTGACTCTCCTGTTCGAATCTTTTTTAGTCATTTCGTTCTTTGAATTAATAAAATTACTTGGAAAAAGGTTTATTCATTTTGATGAACGAGTTTGAACAGGAGAGTCACGAATGCGCATCACAGAACAGAGCAAGGCGAGCATTTGAGCTTATAAAACTTAAACTTTGTTATTTATTTTTTAAACGACCGGTCGTTTTGCTAGATAAGACCCTTATTCATCGTCTGGTGTCGTTTAAAGCCCTTTAAACAGTTTGCACTGAAACCGTCTTTTGGACCTTGAACCGTTTGGTTCCCAATGAAATCCATTATATGGACAAAAATCCTGGAATGTTTTCATCAAAAACCTTAATTTATTTTCGACTGAAGAAAGAAAGACATGGACATCTTGGATGACATGGGGGTGAGTAAATTATTAGCAAAAGTTTTTTTTTAAAGTGAACTACTCCTTTAAAGGAACTGTTTTTCTTAGTTTGAAGAACTTTTTGTGCAATGGAAGGTTCTTCATGTTCTTCATGGAACCATATAGAATATATTTTATACTATACTATGTCCACAGTTTTTTCTCTTTGTCGCCATTAGGGTTGGGTATCGTTTGAATTTGAACGATTCTGATTCCGATTCCGATTCCTTGTTTCGATTCCGGTTCCTAACGATTCTCGATTCCGATTCTTTTAAGAGGCAGGGTCAAAAAAGTTTCGCTAACCTTGCTAACCAACGGCCTTTCTGAAGGAAATAATCATTTCTGAAGGAAATACTCCTTCTGTAAAAATACTCCTTTTGTCACAAATTTTGCATTTTGCCGAGATTTCGTTATTTTTAGAAAAGTGAAGCCACACTTTGGATCGCCGAGGTAAGGTACTCATGTTCGACTTGCACGGTTATGCCAACACTTTCCGGTAGACGCTTCTTCATTGGTGTTGTTCAGCGGTTTCTTCTTCCGCTCTAGGCGGACTGTGAATATCGAAACTAGTAATCGAAATTTTAACTTTTGAACGATTCCGGGAAAAATTAAAAGTTAGTCTCAGTTCCAATCGATACTCGATTCTCGATACCCAACCCTAGTCGCCATCTCTGTTCGAAATCTGCAATTGCAGTCATTCGCGGAATTATCAACTTTACGTGAGTTGTGCCTCGGTACGGCACAGCGCGGATGAACACGGTGTTTGAGAAGAGTGTGTGTCTGTCAGTCGCCGCCGGAGTGGATACTGGCATTCACAATCACAGATTATACTTTTTGGAAGTGTGACCAACATAATAATTTCACTGGAAAATGTCATCGAACAAGTAAGTAACATTCACTTTTGTTCTAACCAACGGAAAAAAAAAGCACTGCAGTAAATTACTCTGATTAAATCTAACGATCGCTTATCATATCACGTCAAACCGTGCAAATTATACTTTGTTCTCAAATTGTAAATGTTCAACGTCAGCATTAAAGCCCTTCCGATATTATCCTTGTTTTTTCTGTTGCCACTTTTCTGCAAGTCATTTACATTTTACAGCGGGTGAATCTGTCGGCACTGGTGATTGTCGTTTGAACCTTTCTGGATCCGTCATCAAATTGATAAGTTTAATTATATCAAGTGCTGTGAGAAAAGGCTATTTACTCACTTTAACTACACTTTAAAGAGTGTAATATATATTACAAAACATGTTGAACTCACTGTCCAGAATTGGGCCGCTCCGATCATTGGTGGTGGTTTTCTTCAGTCGAGCCCCCTTGCTGATATCTGATAGTAAGGCATTTCTCCCATGCTGCTCGTTTCTGTTCAGATTCGGCTTCTCTGTGTTCGCCTAGTGAAAGTAAATGTAAATTAAAGATGTTATATAAATACCACACATTGCCGTCAACTCAACCTTGAATGCCTACAACTTTGAACAGTCGGTGTATGCTACACAATTACATGTTGCATAATGCCGTATTACATGATGTGGTCACATGGTTTAATAGACACAAGAAAGTGCATCAGTTTTTAATTGCTGTTACACTATTGACGTCATTTATGGGAGAAGAAAATTCACATAAAAAGTCTATACAATGTTATTTGTTAGCTATTAGCTATAATGTTCAACGGTTGAACAATAAACAATAAATCCAGAATTTTGATCAATTCAAAACTTTCCCCGGTGCCAATTTAAATGATATAAATCAAACTTACTTTTGGAATTGTAGTCTAATCCCAGGAGGAAGAAGGTAGACGATGTAGATCCAAATATAAACGTGATTTATTAATATAAAGTAAACTCAATGTAATATCAAAGGACACAAACCAAACAGTGTGCCATACACAAACAGCACTAACGGACTAACCATTAAACACAAAATAAGATATTTTTAAAGAAGCCACCGACTTCCGCAGTCATCTACAGTGAGAAATGCATACAGGTTTGGAAGTGTGATGACAAAATCTTCATTTTTGGGTGAACTATCCCTTTAAAAACACAGTGAGGATCAACCAAATACAAAAAGGGTGTGTGGTATATTCGTGATAACAACTGAACTGACTAAGCAGAGTGAAAATGAAACCAAAATAGAATATAACGTTCATGTGAGAGAAATATTGTAGTGCATAAGGAATCGACATGACCCGCTCCATAAAAGCCGTACCAGAAATCGAACTTTGCTCGAGGGTTAAATGATAATTGAACTACACTCAATTAGAGATTAAAAGGTACAAAAGCTGTCACTGGGGCTGTACCTTTTCAAAAGGTAAACTTTTGTCCATTTCAGGTGCTAATATGTACATTTTAGGTGTTAATATGTACATTTTAGATGCTAATAAGTACATTTTAGGTGTTAATATGTAGAATTTAGGAGCTAATATGTACCTTTTAGGTGCTAATATGTGCATTTTAGGTGCTAATATGTACATTTTTAGTGTTAATATGTACATTTCAGGAGCTAATATGTCCATTTTAGGTGCTAATATGTACATTTTAGTGTTAATATGTACATTTCAGGAGCTAATATGTACATTTTAGGTGTTAATATGTACATTTTAGGTAATAATATGTACCACTAAAGTAATATGCAGCCTTTGGGTACAAAAGTTTTGAAAAGGTTCAAGCCCAGTGACAGCTTTTGTACCTTTTTAAGGCCTAATCCTGGCTTAATCTAAGGCCTGTCTGTGAAACCAGGCCTTTAAATACAATTTTAAGATACTTATTAAAATATGTAGATCTGAACAATGGTAACATACCAATGAAAAGGTTGGAGGGGGGGCAGGAGGGGGCGGTGGTCCAGGCATCGTTTCTCTTACGTCGTGTCACTTTTAACCTGAAAGACTGAGAAAACAAAAGTACAAAAACACATTAGTCACAACTATTCAAGTTCTGAACAACCAGCTGATAAATAAGTTGAGGAAGTGTCACATCTTCTGAAGACACATAGCTCATCCAACTTCCGTTAAGTCACAAAGTAACACACACACACCAAACTTACTATGTTGTAGTTTAAATACGCACATGAAAAAGAAGTGTTTTGAAAGTGCACTTGTGTAATACAAAAAGTCTATTTTTTAAAAGCTGTATTATCGGATACTATATTAATGTAATGATAGGACCATTTAAGTGTAAATGCATAAATGCATTTTATGTAAAGTAATGTCTAAAAGTTTTTCTTTAAAGTACATTTTAAATCATTGTTTTAATAATGCTTATACTAGTATACACTTATTTTGATGTATTACTAACAAGTACTTGATCATAATTTTAACTATAGTGTGTTGTTAATTTTCTTTTAAATTAATAATAAATATAATTGTAACTTAAATGTGTAAAATCAATTTATGACTCAAGTTTCAACAGAAATTACATTAAAGTATATATTACTTCATTGTAAACACTTGTCCATTTTCAAAGACAATAGAAGTCATAAAATCATTCATATACATTTTATCTTTTTTTTAATGTTACATACTAGCAAAACACTGCAACAATATATTTTTATCATTCATGACCTCTAATGCAAACATTAACCATTAAAGACATACTTGACAACTAATTGGCACAGCAAACAAGTGTCTCTGGATCTATTTGATCTTTTATAAATCTGTGCATGATTATGCACTCTAAACAATGCTGGGTTGTTTGAACCAAATTTGGGTAAAATATAGACAAACCAATTGTTGGGTTATCAGTGTGAGCATGCACATTGAAGCAAATGCATGACTTTAACTGTTCTTATAATGCAGGGGTCTTAATAAAAATATTTATAGTAATACTTACATATGAATAAGAATAAATGGGGCTTTGCTTCTTTATAAGCATCTTCGTACTCTAAAAAAATGCTGGGTTGTTTCAACCCATATTTGGGTCAAATATGGACAAACCCAAATTTACAGTTTACAGTTGAAAGTGAAAGTTGATGTTGGGTTAACATTTTTAAATTACATTTTTAACCCAACATTTGGGTTTGTCCATATTTGACCCAAATGTGGGTTCAAACAACCCAGCATTTTTCAGAGTGTAGAATACCGTATATTCTTTTAAAGTACATTATTTTCATAATAAGTGCGCTTTTTAAAAGTATGCTTCTTTTCCACAAGGGTAGCCATTTTAAAGTAACAAAACAGCAGGTGTTCACTATCAAAATTAAAAAATAGATGTTACGCTACAATGGGTTTCAACCCAAGTTTGTGTCAAATATGGACAAACCCAAATGTTGGGTTAAAAATGTAATTAATAAAATTACAGTTGAAAGTGACAGTTGAAGTTGAGTTAACATTTTAAATTCCATTTTCAACCCAACCGTATTTGACCCAAATTTGGGTTGAAGCAACCCAGCATTTTTTAGCGTGTACAAAGATCTCGCACATCAGCTTTCACTCTAGTTTGACCCAATATGTGTTTTCATGGAAGATCAGACCGAGGTGTGTTTGACTGATGTTGTACAGCTGTGACCTGATTACTGGTGTGCATCACCGTGTGTGTTTCTGTCTGTGTGACGAGTCGCTTCTGTCTTGTAAACTCAGAGTGGCTGCGGACAGATGCTGGCACCGTTTCCTTACAGCAGCAGAAGTGCAACTGAAAAAACACCACGAGAAACCTAAACACAACCCACAACCGCCTCTCAATCCACTTCAGGACACACTATAGCATAGCCCATACTGGGAAAGTTGCCAACGTGTGACCAATAGATTTGTATGAGCAAACACAACTCATGTTCATCTTCAGGAATGTAACAACCTTCCTTCCTAATATCTGTGTGATTCGTTTCCGGAGGCAAATACTGTGTCGAGCCTGCGTCAAGTGTTATACTCGACTGTCATAAGCTCTTATCTGCTTCTCAAGTGATCATCACACTGAGACCAATGACTTCCTGATGGCAGCAGAAATACACACTCAACATTTAACACACTCAAGCTTTTTTAAGAAGGGAAACATGCTCATTTTACAGTAACAGATCTGATCTTTCACTCTAAAAATTGCTGGGTTGTTCAAACCCAACTTTGGGTCAAATATGGACAAACCCAGCCATTGGGTTACAATTTTAATTAAATTTTTAACCCAATATTTGGGTTTGTCCATATTTGACCCAAAGTTTGGGTCAAATATGGACAAACCCAGCCATTGGGTTACATTTTTTAATAAAATTTTTAACCCATTGGGTTTGTCCATATTTTAATTACATTTTTAACCCAATATTTGGGTTTTTCCATATTTGACCCAAAGTTTAGGTCAAATATGGACAAATCCTTCCATTGGGTTACATTTTTTAATTATATTTTTAACCCAATATTTGGGCTTGTCCATATTTGACCCAAAGTTTGGGTCAAATATGGACAAACCCAGCCATTGGGTTACATTTTTTAATTACATTTTTAACCCATTGGGTTTGTCCATATTTTAATTGCAATTTTAACCCAATATTTGGGTTTGTCCATATTTGACCCATAGTTTGGGTCAAATATGGACAAACCCAGCCAATGGGTTACATTTTTTAATTAAATTTTTAACCCATTTTAACCCGTTGGGTTTGTCAAGTCAAGTCAAGTCAAGTCAAGTCACATTTATTTATATAGCGCTTTTCACAATACAGATTGTATCAAAGCAGCTTCACAGTGATAACATGAAAGTAGCACAACACAGATCAACAACATTGCTAAACACTAAATAACCCCAACTGAGCAAGCTCAAAGCAAGCCAAAAGCAAGGCGACAGTATTTGTCCATATTTTAATTACATTTTTAACCCAATTTTTGGGTTTGTCTATATTTAACCCAAAGTTTGGGTCAAATATGGACAAACCCAGCCATTGGGTTACATTTTTTAATAAAATTTTTAACCCATTGGGTTTGTCCATATTTTAATTACATTTTTAACCCAATATTTGGGTTTTTCCATATTTGACCCAAAGTTTAGGTCAAATATGGACAAATCCTTCCATTGGGTTACATTTTTTAATTATATTTTTAACCCAATATTTGGGCTTGTCCATATTTGACCCAAAGTTTGGGTCAAATATGGACAAACCCAGCCATTGGGTTACATTTTTTAATTACATTTTTAACCCATTGGGTTTGTCCATATTTTAATTGCAATTTTAACCCAATATTTGGGTTTGTCCATATTTGACCCATAGTTTGGGTCAAATATGGACAAACCCAGCCAATGGGTTACATTTTTTAATTACATTTTTAACCCATTTTAACCCGTTGGGTTTGTCAAGTCAAGTCAAGTCAAGTCAAGTCACATTTATTTATATAGCGCTTTTCACAATACAGATTGTATCAAAGCAGCTTCACAGTGATAACATGAAAGTAGCACAACACAGATCAACAACATTGCTAAACACTAAATAACCCCAACTGAGCAAGCTCAAAGCAAGCCAAAAGCAAGGCGACAGTATTTGTCCATATTTTAATTAAATTTTTAACCCAATTTTTGGGTTTGTCTATATTTAACCCAAAGTTTGGGTCAAATATGGACAAACCCAGCCATTGGGTTACATTTTTTAATTACATTTTTAACCCATTGGATTTGTCCATATTTTAATTACAATTTTAACCCAATATTTGGGTTTTTCCATATTTGACCCAAAGTATATGTCAAATATGGACAAATACAGCAATGGGCTCTATGCACGGCGGTATTTCCGGTGAAGCATTAGGGATGCTCGATAACTTCCGCCGATCGTAGAGTCCAATGCAATACCGAGAATTTATATTGAATTTTATACCCCATGGTTATACTAACGAAACGTTAGTCACAAAAACAGATAAAACAGACACCCCTCGTTGTGTTTATGCTTCTTTTTAAAATTATATTACGTAAACATAACTATATATAAAATTACATCTAAACGTATGTACATTTCATTTCAATGACGGGAGGACAGTAAATTTTGAAGACTCTGCCATAATCCCGTTTTCCTCGCTTCTCCTCCGCTTAAATCTCCACAACCGGAAATGGACGAGCATCCTTGCGTCAAATGCGGAACTTATGCGTGCATATAGCCCATTGGGTTACATTTTTTAATTACATTTTTAACCCAATATTTGGCTTTGTCCATATTTGACCCAAAGTTTGGATAAAATATGGACAAACCCAGCCATTTGGTTACATTCTTTAATTAAATTTTTAACCCATTGGGTTTGTCCATTTAATTAAATTTTTAACCCAATATTTGGGTTTGTCCATATTTGACCCAAAGTTTGGATAAAATATGGACAAACCCAGCCATTGGGTTACATTTTTTAATTACATTTTTAACCCATTGGGTTTGTCCATGTTTTAATTAAATTTTTAACCCAATATTTGGGTTTGTCCATATTTGACCCAAAGTTGGGTTAAAACAACCCAGCATTTTTTAGAGTGTACATGTGTTGCTCTTTACAGTATCACAGCATCTCTTCAGAGGAATTTATGGCAATATTAATCAGGAGTGAGAGACAAATGCTCAACCTTTTCATAAATAAAACCCTCAGATGTTGTAAATAACCATTTCTGAAATATATGTTCAGCATAACATTAAAAAATGTGGGTTCTGTAAGAAAAAGTCAGTAAAAATAAAAAAAATGCACCTCAGTAATATTGTGAAATATTATTACTGTTTGAAATTTTTTTTTCTATTGTAAAATACTTTAAAATGTAATGTTATTTCCAGTATGACCCCAGTCTTCAGAGTCACATGACCCTTCAGAAATCACTCTAATATGATGATTTGACGATTTTTATGAACGTTGAAAACATTTGTGCTGCTATATATTTGTGTGAAACCGCAGTAAAAACAATTCAGGGTGTTTTAATGAACAGAAAGATCAAAATGAACACGATATTTAATTAGAAATGTAACATTTTTCAGTCTTTGCTGTAACTTTGAATCAATTTAATGCATTCTTGCTGAATAAAAAATTGCAAAAAATAAATTGCAATGTTGCGCTACAGTATTCAAAACATTTGCCTTGAGACTTTCCTTTAATTTTAAATATTGCATTCAAATTCCAGTTTGTTAGCCATCAAAGAAGATCAGATATAACTGACATTACATCACGATTTGCATTGAAATTTCATTTTTTCATGCACCGAAATGTAAGATAAGACAGCGTGTCAACAGTTTGTACGGTCTTGTTCAGAAGCTGTGTGAAACCCCAGAGAGCGAGTTACATTTCCTCCGCCGAGTTTCCTCTGTGGTTGAGCAGTCAGAGAACAGAAGCACTAACTTTCCTCAGAGATGCTCACTATAGCCTTCACCAGGACACTCCATCACTCCCTCACAGGCTTCCCTTCCATCATTTCCACACTTAAAGAAACACTCACCTGAGTCTGAGCATTTGGAGATCCTCCAGATCCAAGGTTTGGTTGAATGTCGCAGCACTTCCTATCTGCGCGTGCATCAGAGAGTTTGCAGCGCGAGCTGTTCATGCAACAGAACGAGCTGAGGATCGCAGCATGCAAACTATTGTGACCGCATGCATTTCCTCACACAACGTCTGTGTCAGAGTGAGATCAGCCAGTCGAGGGCTGTTATGAACTCCAATGGCTGAGAGCATTAACAGAAACAGGAACTTTAAATGACTAATTTGGAGAACACAGATGTGACGCTGGTCTCTGAGTGTCGGACACTGACCTTGAGCTTCAGTTAACATCTCAGTGCTGTTCTCAGAAATGAGTTATTTTTGCTCACTGACTTTTAATCAGCTGGTGTCAGGTTTCTTCTATTTTTGCTATTTCTCTATGATATTGCAGTGAGAAGTTATCAAGTTCACACAGGTGTCCAATAACCACAGGTGTAGAGAATCACATCATTATAATACATTTCAAAGGTTTGGGGTTGGTGATTTTTTCGGTTTTGTTTTTGCCACCCTTCACAAATGCTTTGCTGCATACCTCGGTTGTAACGAGTGGTTATTTCAGTCAAAGTTGCTCTTCTATCAGCTTGAATCAGTCGGCCCATTCTCCTCTGATCTCTCGCATCAACAAGGCATTTTCGCCCACAGGACTGCCGCATACTGGATGTTTTTCCCCTTTTCACTCCATTCTTTGTAAATAGAAATGGGTGTATATACATATATATATATATATATATATATATATATACCCATTTCTAGTAACATTTAAATCAAACATTACTAACGCTAATATTCAAATCCAACATTAAATTGGTACAATGTACTTATTGTGATTTTGTGTTGTATTGCAAACCACGTGTGCTGATATTGAGGTGGATGCAGTTGGACAGTTTAAGGTTTTAATTAAGGTTTAAGGGAAGGTCAACAGTGTCATTATAGATGTAATTAATTACAGCTAAAATTACATGCAGGTATTTTATATAAGTGCAAAAGTGTATCTTGTAAGATGGAAGCTTGTTTCCGCCACAGAATAAATCAGTTTTTGAGAGATATAAAGTCAGGAAAAAAAGCTATTGTGAGTTATAAAGTCCAATTCTAAGGAAAAAAAAGAAGAGTTTTTTCTCATAATTGTAAGTTTTAGGGTGACCATATTTTGATTACCAAAAACCAGGACACTCGATCGGCCTGGCAAACAGATACTCTAATGATACTTAAAGTTTACTCAAGTTTACTTTAAGTAGGCTAAGCCTCCTCTGTATGGATAGAATTTTTTTATATTTCAACACACAAATTAGAAAAATAAATTTATAAATAATAAAAAAAACTAAAAATACCTCCAGCTCTCACAAACTTACAAAAACGAACTAACAAAGTATATTTTTCTTCTTCTTTATCCTGTTTTTTCCTCATCCTCCTTGTTTGCCCATCTATATTTTGCGGTAGAGCTGTTTTTTGAAAACCAGGACATTTTCATCACTTTATAAAAATCAGCCAGGACAGCCATGACAGGACTTGAAAACAGGACACGTCCTGGGAAAACAGGACTGTTGGTCACCCTAGTAAGTTTATATCACAATACTGACTTTATATCATGCAATTCTGAAAATTGCGAGATGTAAACTCGCAATTGTGAGGGGGGAAAAAGTCAGAATTGTGAAATAAAAAAAAATCGCAATAACCTTTTTTATTTGTAATTCTGTGGCGGAAACAAGCTTCCATATCTGTACCAAAAAAGAAGAATGAACAGGAATGTTCACAGTCAGTCATTATGTTTACCTGATAGTGTTACTCTTACAATCCTGGAGTATTTTTTAGGTGGCACAATATTCGTGTTGTTTAAAGCAGAACCCTTTTAGATCTTTTCGCTATGCACAAACCACATGTTCAGTGTTCAAACGGCAGGTGGCAGCACTGAGTGAGATATTATCACTGCCGAGTGTTGTTGGCAACAAAACATGGGACTAAACATTGCTTAATTTACTGTGCGCAGTATGCAAATCTCCTCTGCATGTTCTCCCGTATCCCACACTGCAATGCTCTCGGTGAGTCCTTTAAACTTGATTTTAACATTTTCTTGACTCACAAATTTGGATTAAAAAATAACTAAAAACACTTTAAACTGAATACTATTGTGCATACTTTGTTAACTAACAAAGCATTATAGTGTACAGCGCGGTAGCCTTTTGGATAAGAATAGAATAAGGAAGTGTATATAGTAGAAGAGACAGGATGAGTCAAACTGATGCGGATGTAAACACACACACAGACAGTCTGCTTAACACACCAGCTTCACTGCAACCCCTGCCAGCCAACCAGGCCTCGCATGCACAGGACCGTCGTCAGGGAGAAAAGCCCTGAGCGTGTGTGACTGTGTGTGTGTGTGTGTGTGTGTGTGTGCATACTGATGATGGAAAGACCTCGGTTATGTCTTCCAGTCCCATACACACACACCGAACAGAACTGACTCTAATCAGCAGGGCCTGTTTACGAGACGATGCACAAGCTTGTTTGGCGATGCATTACTAAACAAAGTCGAGTCAGCAGACACTCCAGTACAGTACAGTGTACTTACCTAGAAAGTGCTGGCTAATATAAGGTAAGTATATGGAACAGGGGTAGATTTAGGGGAAGGTTCAGGGTTAATACTAGTTATTACCCAGTAATTGTAGTTACTAAAATAAATACATAGTATTTACATGGGTAACTGGACTGTAAAAGGAAGCGTTACCCAGGATCTACTTGATAAAATCCTCGCAGCAATTTGCACTATACATTTATGGTACACAATAATGACAGTAACATCTGATATATCATTTTTAAGAATGAATGTCATTTTGAGTAGAAAATGAATTCAAGATGTGACAAATTTGCAAGTTCACACTACATGATTTTAAAACTTCGGTCTGAACTGTGCGGTTCACACAACATGACTTGCTCTCTGTGAAATCAGGAGTGTTCAAGTTGTTGAGCTGTTCAAACCACACGACACAACGTGATTGATCCGCAAGAGGAGGTAACGCAGTACACCAGTTGATAACAACTCTGTCACCCAACGATTCTATCTTGTCTACAAACCACGTTTTGTCACGAAAAATCACGGGATAAAACGAACCGGAAATGACGCGAAAACAGCACGTGCGCCAATACCCAGCGAAGAAGACGAAGAACACAACGCGCAAATTTTGACGTCAGAGAAACTAGTGCTTCAAACCGTTTGCGCGATGATAAAAGATAAGATTTACCCGGGTGACCTCAACCCATGCTTTGCTCTGATTGGCTGTAGCTCATGACATCACGTGAGGTTGAGTCGTGCGACAGCTCTGGATATCTAGCATGCTGGATATTTTTCTGGGCTCGGCGACGCGTCTGCGAACATCTTTGATGTGTTGTTGGCTCTTTCATACTAACAGATTGGCGAGCGTTCATGGCCCGCTAATCCCCCGCGATTTGCACGCGATAACACCATAGACTGTAAAAAAGATGGACGCTCTTCGCTCTTTTCCATCGGAGAGAACTGAAGCTGCCAATGTCTCAATATGACGCTGACATCTTGGGACTTGAGTCTGCGTACTTGCGTTTTCGGGACCAGACACGCGCAGTCGTGAGCAGGAAGTAAAGCCGCGAAATCAAGGCCCCGCCCTCACTATCGCTGAATCAAACGCAAGCACACGCCCCGCACTTTCATTAAGTGTCCTCTGTCTGCTTCGTTCTTCTCCAATGATGTCTGCTGATTGCAGAACCTCGTTAAAATAAGGTAAATACAACTACTAACAAATACAAGTACTAACCACATAGTCAACATTATGAAAAAAAGTCCGCTGGTGCTTCAGTGACTACTTCGCACAGAGAACAACAGAGCTTAAGAGTTTAAAAACAAAAAACAAACTCTGCTTCTGTGAGAAAGACGTTTTGAAGCGGCCCCTTTAAATAAAAAGGAGATGCGTCATACCCCGCCCGCTCTCCAGGTCGATGAGTTCACACTCGGTTCAAATCCACCCCGTTCGGCCATTATTGTAGTTTGATAAGAGATATAGGATTACTATAGCTTCAAAGAACATTTTTATTCACGCGTTAATAAAATGTCAACAACAGAAGACTTGTCCATCAAGCCTTACATATTCGAGCCAGAGCGAGCGAGTTGAAAAAGACGACGACGAACCTGCAGAACAACGTCTTCATATGGATGCAATGGTATGTAAGTTAACTATGTTGTGTTATTAGTGAAAGTCGACTATTTCTCTTGTTAAAACAAGCACACTGACAAGATAAATGACTGCGGTCTGATCTTAATCTGTATTGATAATAATATGATAATTCAGAAAACACAGTAGCTAAATGATAGAAGGAATTTACCTCTCATTCAGACGAAGTCGATCGGCAAACCCTTCTGTATACTGGCGGAGGTTGTTGAAGTGGGAATCCTTGAAGTGCTTCAGGTCACTACATCCAAAAACCGAACATTTTGACTTGCCCTCTCGTAACTTCTGCATCATTGAGCTCGGACTACAAAATCGGAGCGAGAAATAATAATGGCGGATTGCTCGAAGTGTTGGGCCGGTAGTCGATGACCTTATTTGTCAGTTCCACTGCAAATACGGTGACGCTGTATTTCAAAATAGAGAACAGAAAAATCTGAACAGGTTGAAAAATATGACCAAAACAAAATAAAAACATATAAATTAAGCACCTGAAGAGAATAATTTCATCTTTTCACTCCAAATATACAACAAAATGCATTTAAGGGCTAAAAAAGTGGATTTTGCATGATATGTGCCCTTTAAATCAGGCTTAAAATCATGTAGTGTGAACTAGGCTTTACTGAACCCAACAACAAAAGCAATGATAAAACAGTGTAAACTCAGCTGGAAAACATTAGCACAAAAAAAAAAAAACAACAACCCTAATTATTCATGCCTCAGTGCATGATGGGTACACCAGTATCAGAGGAGTTGAGTTTTAATATAAATTGTTGATATTTATGCTTTAATTTCAACATGCTTTAATTGAGTACTAACGTGAAATGTACTTCTTTTTTTATCATTCTTGCCTGACGTAACTTATTTATGTAGAAATTACATTTGGGTTTTGTTATGTAGTATTTACTTCACCACAGAATCATTTTTATTCACTTTATCACATCTAATGTGTTCCACCGA